GTGCAAAGCTACAAACTAATTAGTTTCAATTCCAATGTAACGTAATTTACGACATTGGAAAATGTGTCGCTTCAGACAATATCAGGCGATAATAACGCAACACTCATCCGCATTTTGGGCGTCATTGTGTGCGGCTTTTCTGGAAGAACACCATCGGATTCCTCTGGATGTATTTTTAACGTTCATCACCTAGTTCAAGTGTATTTTTACAACTTGCAAATGTGCCAGTCCGGTTCAGTTTAAGGTCTGATTTCGGTGTGTGAATAATTGGCCTGTTCTTATCCATTGCAATTTTGCATCTCCGATTCGAATCAAATGCGCTAGAGAGCCGCAAAGTATGAGTTCCCGTGGCGTTAATCTCAGTCCGGATTGCGATGAAGTTCTGCTAATTGTTAATTCGCCCAATTTTTTACGGGTTAATTCCTTTGTGGATGGAGAAAGATCAGGTACGAAATTGATTGGAATATCTTATGTAAGCACTGCAAGTGCATAAGTTTTCGGGGAAAATCACGCGGAAACTGAGAATAAGGCGGAAGTTGAAATAATTTATGATAATTTGAGAATCGTTCAAGTTCCAGTGTACTTTTTCGTATTTTCGAATAGAGCATTCGATGATTGAGCACTTTATTGATTTTTAATTGAAAATGTCCACCTTAATAATTCCCAAGGCCACATCAAAAGACGATGGCCTTACATCAATCCACTCAAACGTTGTACATTTATTAGTATGGCCATCTAATAGCGAGGATCAATTAACGGGCAGGAAATTTATGAGAATTGCTTTTTCCATTTACCATGCGAAATGGTAACAAACGATTGATCGATTTTCTTTACTCCCGGAAAACAACACTTCTAAACTGCTCAACAAGAATTTTCACATCTAGAAAAGGGTTATTAACATTTTTTCTCAGTAACGTTTTACTACTTTGTTTAAACAACTAGAAAAAGTAATCTGGATTTTCCCAGCAACAGAACTGAGTTCAAAGAAAGTCGACGATTTCTCTTGTAAAATCGACCTCTTCATTTTTTTGCATCAAAGATTCAGTTGGCCAGTATTTTACAGTAAAACGTTATGGAAAACGCGGTTTCTCTGTTTAGGGACAGTGCTGTTTAGAAATGTTGACCCAAAGTGAAGAAACTCCAGTTTCCAAGAGTTTTCCAAATAAATGATTATAAACTTTCGCTTTTTCAGTTCGGGGAAATATTTTTGGAAAACAACCTCGAACTTATTATGAGGGTTTTGTCCATACTTCGAAGCGGCAAAAAGTTTTCCAAACATTTTTGCAAAGCGGTTAAGGAGGCGAGTGTCCCAATAAAATTTATGTTATAATTTTGCACAGAAAATTCCTGAAGATTGCCAGTATTTTAAGTAAAACTGAAAATAATGCKATTTTTGCCTAGAAAGAATTGCTTAAATAGAAACTTTGGAATKACCTGAAAATTTAAAGGAACTTTAGAAATCTTCAGAGCGATGAGGGCGGCGAATTTTCCCAATAATTTTTTGTAAACTTTTGCTCTCTGGTTGTTTTTTCAAGACAGTCCGAATTACTTTCGGTAAAAAACTGAATCCAATTATTTGGTTTTTGTGCCCAATTCGAGGTTGAAAAGGGTTTTGTAAAGTTCCCTGCAAACCGATGAATATGGCGAATTTGCTAGCAAAATCAATTTTGTAATTTTTAACTGAAAACACCTTTTTATTGTCAAAAAAGAAGAAAACAATCAGAAAATAATGCTTTTTTGCGTTTTCGATTAAAAACTTTTAGCCTTGTGAGCGGTTTTGGAGAAAACCTTAACAGTTTTCGGAAAAAAACGGTAGAAATTTATTTTCCTTTTTGTCCCGAATACGACACTGAAAAAAGTTTTCGTAAATTTTTTACAAAGCTATAAATTTATCTTGTAATTTTTCGCGTAAAAGTCCTCCAGATCGTCAGTATTTTTAAGTGAAACTCTACAAAATAGAGGGTTTTTGACTAGAAAGTAAAGCAAAAAAAAATCAGTCAAAACTAAAAAACCACATTTTTTAACAAATTTTACAGTCTTCAGAGGAACGGAGGTGAGGAGATTTCCAAATAATCTGTTATAAACTTTCGCTTATTCTGTTCGTTTTTTGATAGAAAATTGTTTGATTTTTGTTCCAAATTCGAAGCTGAAAGGGATTTCAACACTTTTTAAAAAGCGACGAAGGATTCGAAATTTATTTCATAATTTTCCGCGGAAAATACCTTAAGATTGTCAGTATTTTTAAGTAAAACTAAAAAATTGAGTATTTAGAAGGAGTAACTTGGCTAAAACTGGGAAATCCTGAAATTTGAAGACATTTTAAAAATATTATTAATAAATGGCCTTTAAAATAAATCTAGAAAAAGTAAAAAAAAATCATCAACATTTTTCCAGCAACGGAACTGAGCTACTGCGCCGGTGCGTTGGGTTGGCGCATCAAACCATTTGCGCAGCACTGCGCCAACTCCTAAATTCACTGAGTTACCCAGGCCTATTGTTTAGTGCAATTCTTTGTCGGTTAGTGCGTAATTTTGCAAAAAATTAGCACTTCAGATAAATTGTCTACAGGGTGGCAAATGAATCAATGTTGGTGAGAGTTTGTCAAGTTGGTGAGAGTTTCACATGCACTCAGTTGGACAAAAAAGCCGTTTTTTTGGCATTTCAACACCACAGAAATTAAGGCAGACCTTGTATTTCGAAAAATATTTTACATTTTTTTACCATCTCGTTTATTTACAGAGTGGTATTAGAAAAATTTCCTTCTGTTTGGTATTACAGTGATTTTTTGTTCGTTTGAACCGACTAGTAAAGCTTAGTTGAAAATCTTCTAGAATCGCATATGTCGGGGGCAATTCTGATTTGGAAAAATTTTGCGCAACTCGAATTTTCGTCTTAATTTGTCTAAGAAGTTTTAGCTTCAACATGAGCTCAAGATCGTGAAAATCGGCCCAAGCGCAGAAAAGTTATCGCTGCGAGGCCAAACAGTTGATTTTTCAGACCCGGTAAATGAAACAGAAGCCGGAAAAACTGAAATGCTTTTTTTGAAAAAATTTAAACTTTTGGTGTTGGGATCCAAGAACCTTTTTTCGACCAACTGCAAGCATGCCGAACTTCCGATTTTTTAAATTTTCTACCCTGTAGAAAAATTATCTGGAGTGCTTAATTTTTACCAAAAATTTAACAAAAATCAAATGGGGTTCAATAACTTTTAAAAGACAAACCAAACCGCTCTGAGTAATCAGAATTTGCCTCCTTTGTTGTTCTACCCGCTGCTTCATCAACTCAATTTGCAAAATAATTTAATCGATGAAGAAGATTGAAAAGAAGAAATTTAGCAAAGCAAATCAGGTTTAGTAGAGAATGTTTTTGCCTAATCTTATCGACGCTTCAAGCTTTGATAGTGAAGAATGCGCTAATTAAAACCTTAAAGGATTCGACCTATACGATTATGTAGATAAATTCCCCCCAAAATATTGTATCAGCTGGATTTGATGAGAGTGAGAGTTTGGAAACGTGTCCTAATCAGTTTAGTTTCACCCGACCATCCAACATATACATAAATTCATTCTGATCCCGGCGTCTAGATCGTTGCTGCGTTATTACAAGACTTGATAAGACGATTTTCGTCTATAGAAAGTAGTTGGGTGTCCAGTCCGTGTCTGAGTGTTGATCGAGGTCCTCGAATTATACCTGAACGAATATTTTGGCGATGTATTTTAACCGCAGTAGCTGTGGCTCAACAGCCGCTCAGTCTGGTGATACGAAGAACAGCACGAATAGCGAAGGTAGATTATTGACTTAATTTCTTCTTTATTCGAAATCTTCATCGCCTTAAAGAAGCTTGAGAGAACTTTCCAATGAATGTAGGTAGATGAGTTCATACCTGCACTTAAGTAGGCGCACATCCGGTGTAGCGCACTAATTAGAACACACTCTGTTACGGAATGGGTTTTCATCGCCTAAAAGTTCTGATCGTGATTATTTGATGAATTTTGACAAACTTTGCGGTTTTTCAGGTAACGAAAGTCCGTCCTCATTCGCCGGAAATGCTCCATTTCCAGACACCGAACCCGAACTACCCAATGAAATCTCAGCACCATACGAAGTGCCGCAATTTCCTATTGAACAAATTGAAAAGAAACTGCAAATCCAGCGGCAATTAACCACAAAGTGAGTATTTTTCGGGTCCATTTCATTCAGGGGCGGATCCAGCCTTCTGTTGTCTATAAAATTAGACAAATTATCGTCGTTTTGTGCAAGGGTGGCGCAAGATTATTGCAAAAT